TACAACTGGGATTGGGGTGGTCTTGGTGATGGGAGTGTGGGGGCTGAGTGTAAGGGGAGAGGAATCTCTGTAGTGGGGCAGCCAGTGTTGGGGTGAGCAGGAAATGGGGGGCCTTGCAGATGAAGGGAGGGGACTGCCTGGGGTGGGTTCATCAGGGATTAGGGGTGAGCAGAGGAAGGAGGACCCAGACTGTGGAGAAAAGGAAATCTTTATTTAAATCTGGAATTGGAAATGTGTCTTGCCTACAATATTTTCCCATCTGCATTTCCCAGCCTGTTGGAACCAGATGCAGGAGGTCAGCAGAGGGGATGTCTCTGGGGGTAGATGCAGCCAGGATTAGATGGCTCCAGAGTGGATGACGGAAACACGTCCTGCTGGCCTAGAGGGATTTTCCCGTGGGTTTTAAACCTCGGTCCAGCACAGCACAGTGCAAGGCTGGGGGAGGGGAGGAGTGCGTGCTTGTGCTCAGTTTATTAAACACCAATATAGAAAGAGACTTTTAGCCTTGGGACAGATTCAAAAGGCAGGAAAAGCAGCAAATTTCATTTATAAACCATGATTTCTTTAGCCTTTGGCTGCTGCTTAGTCTTGTTTCCTTTGATGAAGGGAAGTGTTGGAGCCTAAAAGAGCCACTCTGTATGCATGAGGTAACTGCTAACTGGCTGTTCTAAGGGGAGCAGCTCAGAGTGGGAGAGCTAGTCCACAACTGGGGAGACACAGGGAGTGACTTCACCAGCCCCATTTCCCCAGTCTTGGAAAGCCACCCCAGCTCCAAGGGATCTTCACCCAAACAGTGAGGCAAGATCCAGCAAGTGCCAGAGGGTCTGGGGCAACTGGGGATGCTTGTCCAGAGGGATTCATGATGGAGCACGATTTGGGGGGAACTGTCACCTGTTTAGCAGGGTGATTTGAGTTGGGTGGAAAAGGGAAATGGGGAATGCTGGTAAGAGAGGGCACCAGGCAGGAGCTTGTGGAGGTGCTGGGGCATGGTGCGGGGATATTAGTGTCTATCCTTATTCCATGCTGTTCTGGTGTTGTCCCCCTTCCTTTCTGCTCTCCCCCAGACTGAGTATTGTAATTGGCTGGCAAGCATTGGTCATGTGAACTTTTAGCACTTAAGTTCCCTCTTCCTTTGCAGACCATCCCAGCCCCTGCTGAGCAACTCACCCCCAGACTTCCCCTCACTCACCAGTGCCCACGAATGGCTGGATGCCATCAAGATGGGCCGCTACAAGGAGAATTTTGACCAGGCCGGATTGACTACTTTCGATGTCATCTCACGTATGACGCTGGAGTAAGTAAAGTTGGGATGGAGCAGAGGACACTGGGTGCTGAGGGCTTCCACCTAAGGAGAAACTTCCAGAGTGGAAGAGGAGCTAGGAGATAAGGAGTAGGGAATCTTTGGAGGATACACACAGAGGTAATGGAGGGGCAGTTCAGAGCAGGGCAACTGCCATCTAACATCCTTTTAGGCCCTTTCTACACTTGAAGTATAACTGTGTATTTGTAACCAGCTCTGACACTCATCTGACCCCAGTAAAACATACACAAGGGAGTTATGCCCACACAGCCACTTTTTCCACACCATGACTATGTGTGGGGCATGTTTGTGCATCGGCAATCACACCACTGCACAACTGAATTTGCATCAGTGCATTCTGGGAAAACCTGGGCTGCTGCTGTCCCATAGTAGCCCAACAGGAGGACCTGCACACAGAGCAACACCAGCAGCTCATGGGACAGTGCACTGTGGGATGTCCTTCCACACTGAGAGCTGGGAAGGAGGAGGACCAGCCAGACCAGGCACACAGGCACAGTTACAAAGCAGAAATACTGTGCAGTTTGGGATATAGGGAGACAACTACCTGCCAGGCACCATCCGTACTAACCACGCTGGCTGTGGCATAAACCATTTTTAGAGCCAACCATGCCACAAATTGGGTTAAAATTGGGTAACAGTGAAGACAAAGACAGAGCCAGAGAAAGGAAAGTGACACAGAGGAGGTGGGTTGGGGCAGTTCAGAACAGGAGCCCCATCTTTACCATGCGCCCTTTCTCTCACAGAGATATCCAGCGCATTGGGATCACCCTGGTTGGTCACCAGAAGAAGATTCTCAACAGCATCCAGCTCATGCGAGTTCACCTGAACCAGCTCGAACCAGTAGAGGTCTGAGGTTTAGACCATTCCCCCACTTCCAAACTCCAGGAAGGGAGTTCAGAGCGATTTTCTCTATCCATGGGAGCAGGCGAGGAGATCCCTGGAGACTTTGTGCAGAGATAGAGTGGGCATTAAATGTCCCATGCCACCAAACCAAACCCTTGCAGTGATTTTACTGCAATGCTACAGAACTTGTGCCATTCAGATATGGGTGATTTTGTACATTGGGGAAGCACTGGGGGAAGAGGGAACTACTGTAATGTGGGGAGGAGCTGGAAGATAGTTTGGACAGATCAGACACACTTGCTGCCTCTTCTCTGCAGCAGATGGGTTCAAAAACATTACAAAGCTGTCATTGGACTGTGTCTGCGGCTGGGAGCCCATCAAAGCCACACAGACATTTTTTGCCATGAACCAGGCAAAATAAAGGCAGCAGAAAGTTACTTTTTTTTTTCTAAAAGAAAATAGTCCACGTGTGTGAGGTTCTTTCTCAGGTAGTATGGGGCTGGGGCAAGCCTGACACCTGCCATCCTCGGGTGATGGGGAGCTGGAGCACCAAGTGGGGACACATTATGTGACGGAAGATGGGGTGAGTGACCTGGTTACTGCAGTGCTGTCCTGTTCCAGGGAAGGGCTGGTAAAAGGCAACAGTGAGCTCAGAGCTCCACACTGCTTGGTGGCAGGCAACAGTGGGGCCTTGAGTCTGCACCATGGTCCCAGGGGCTGGGAGGGGAACATATTCACTGCTGCCTGGGGCTGGGAAGGGAATCAGGTGGTCCCTGGATCCACACTGTTCCATTTCCCGAGTTGGGAGGGGTGGCTGAGCAGAGATTCCTGGATCCCCCCTTCTGGGCTCTGGCCATTTGAGGGGGAGCAGAGGATTCTGGTTCTAGGGATTAAAGAGGAAGGGAAGGGAGCAGAGCCTTTAGGCTCCTGCTGACAGATGGTTCTGGTTCCATTCCAGTCCCTGTTGGGAAGGAGAGATCTAGGTTCTCATTCCACACCACTTAGCATCCAAGAGGTGCAGGGGCTTCTGATTCCCTTCCCACTCCATTATGGGCATTGGGGAAGGTGGCAGAGTGACCTCTTGGAGCAGAAGGTTCTTCCTTCACAGACCAGTTGGCCCCCCAGAGCAGAGGAGAAAATGAAATAAACACAGACCAGAGAAGGGGAGTGTGTAGAGGATTTTACTGGGAGGAAATTGAACTCCAAACAGGCCATTGGATCTACATACACATTTAACACCTTTCATAATCCCCCATCAAGAAGGGACCAACCAAGATCAATCAGCCATGGCCTACAACCAGAGGAAGTAACCAGTCCCAACCAATCATATCTCTGATCTTTAAACAGGAGGGAGAGCTCCCAGGGAACACATACTCTGGGACTCACCATAAAGTGCATTATCTGGCAGTAAAACAAAGTCACTCTAGCATGACGAAGTCTACAGGAGGCAAGTTGTGTCCCCCTCTGATAGGCTAGTACTTGCCCGCTGACACATCTTCACCCTGGGTAAGGGGCAGGGCCTTTGGGAGCCAAGAGAAGACATGTGGGTGCCCCTGTATAGATCTATATTAAAGGGTGAAGTTGACCTGAGCCCAGATTTCAGGGCTTCATAAAAGCACTGGGGCATGGGTAGGCAGAAAACTTCAGGGGCCTTCTCTTGTGCCGCTGCAGGATGAGATGTCCTGACCCATCCATGCCCCTCTGCTAGCCCCTTGCAGTACAGCCTACCATTCTATAGCAAACCACTCCCCAACACCCAGGCCCGGGGGTGGAGTTTGAAAGGCAGGGCTGTTGCAGACATTAACCCTGCATGGACTGAAGTCCCATGGTCAGCCGAGCAGCTGAGAGTGGGGCAGGAGTCCATTTCTTTAAAGGTAATAAACAGACTGAAAGCTGGACTCAGAAAGCGACTGGGGAAGAATTCTTTTAAAGGGAGAGGTCTACATTACTCCAAGTAAAATTCACAGTTCAGACCTTTCGATGCACTGAAGTAGTAAAATATATTAATGTATCTTTAACAGAGGGAGAGAGAGAAAACCGCTGATTGAAATGTAAATAGAACTAAATACAAAAATAATCCAGGGGCTCTTTGAGCTGGGGGGGGGGGGGGGGGGGGAGAGGAGGGGACAAGAAATTCACAGCAGCACAAAGACAGTGTGAGGATAAAAAAGCATCAGCACTGGAACCAGTCAGCAAGCCCATGCCTAGAAAATCTCTCTGTTGCTTGCCAAAGTGTCTGGGAATTCAGAGCACAATCCATCCAGATTTACACACACTATGCTTGCCAGTCAAATCTACACCATCTGAGACCAAACTAGCACCTTCAGTGCCAAAAACACAGGCATCACCATGAGATGCTAAGGAGATGCTTCAGTCTCTACCGCTACCATGGTAGCAGATGAACCTTCCACAGGCCTCCACTAGAGGGCTCTGGTACACGTTTGCACTAGTGAATATATTTTAGCAGTACTGCCATCTGTGTGAGGGATCAGACATTTTTCCTCTTGAATGGTCTGGGTTGGTGGGGAAGAAGTTAGTGATCCAGTTCAAATCCCAATGGCCTCGGCTGGGCTGGTGGGAACATGCACTATCATGCATCAGGGATTTTTTTTCCATGTGTGTGTTTACATTCATGCAATGGGTGACCAGCCCAATGTCCTCACACACCCCAGGCACTCCATTTAGCCCCACAGATTGCTGCTGTGGAGTGAGCCGTCCATATGGGAGTGCAGGCAATAGGATGTTGACTACTACAAGGTGTCCATGCCGGAACATGGCCTTTACCACTGGCAGGAGAGAGAGATCACTCACTGCACAGAGGCAGACGAGCAGTCATTCAGACATGGTAGATCTCCTCTTCCTTCTCCATGGAAAGGTTGACATGGCCCTGTAGCTGCCCTAGGGTGCTGTGCCTCAGGATGTCCCAGCCATGGCTGGAGCTCCTCCGGGACAGGCTTGGTGACACAGCTGGAGTGCTGCAAGGGGTCTTCTTCCTGTACGGAGCCTCTGTGTCCTTGTCGTCCTCCAGCTCCTGTTTGTTCTGTGAGTACTTGTCAAAGTCTTCTGTGATCTGGAACTTAAATGCTTCCATGTAGCGGTGCATCTTGTGCTGCCTGCCTTCGCATCGGTCTTCCACTCTGTAGGCAGGATGAGAACAAAGAATCAAGACCAGTGTGCTAGGAATACCTACATCTCACACTTTTCAGCCCCAAGCCAAAGAAGAAGCCCCACCAACTAGGCCTTTCCTACCAATGCAATGTCTCCCTCTCGCCAAAAGAACTAGACTACTGTATGTCAGAGACCTGAGACACTGCAGTCAGGGGAAAAAATCAGGTGGGGAGCTGCTTGTACGCTCGTGTTACATGATGATCTCTCATCTAGCAGTGGGAACTGGCACAGAGAGGTAACTCTCCATGCTCCACCTCCCCTGCAGTAGCAGCCGCTGCAAGAGCAGAATGGAAAGCAAAGTATTGCCTGACCTCCCTCCATCTGTTGCTTTTAGTACAAAATGCATAAGTCACCTGTGGAACTCATTTGCACAAGATCTCACTGAGGCAAAGACCTTAGAAGGATTCAGGAAAGCATTCAGCATTTCTGTGTGTAATGAAAACAGCCACAGTTCCATTAGCAAGGATAAAATACTATGAGGGTTATAAACCCCTGCTGCTTTGGAGAACAAGCCAAATTCCAGCAGGCTGGCTCAAGGAAGGACCTTCCCCTAAGGGCCAGCTATTTCATAATTACCCATGCTGGGGTTCCTGTTACTGGGTCCTGTCAGAGACAGGATACTAGATTAGTGTGATCTGCACCAGTCTGGCAATTCCTGGGTCCTGCTGCCGAAAAGCAGAGCAGGCAGCAAGTGTGCTCCCCCTCTGGTCCCTCTGCCGACTTATATACTGAGTCAGTGTGCGCCCACTGTCTCACCCAAGCAATAGTTTATTTACCTCGAAGGCAAGGCCCTGCCCACAAGCATTCTAAGGCAAGGAGCCACGGGTGCTAGGCTTTTGTATCTGTTCCTGGAGGGGAAGGAAGGTGGTGGCAATCCGAGCAGTGCAGAGTGCAGATATTGTTCTCCCTCCTACAAACCCAGGCGGAAGTGGGCAAATGGCATGGCCTGCAGCCTAGGGGCAGCTTTGGTTTTTACATTTCATAATGCAGTGCTAGTGCACTATGGCAGCTCTGCATTAGGGCTGGAGGGCAAGGGATCAGTTAGTGTCTGCCTACATTTTGCTAGGAGCATCCCTTCTTCCTAGCCCATTAACCCTCTGCCTGATGCAGGGTCACAGAGAGCCTGTCTGTCCCTTCACACAGACATCTCTAGTGTTCAGGAATCTCAGGAAGGAAAGGAGCGACTGCAGCTCCTTGAATCCCATGCCATGAGCCCTGCTGAGCTGCAGAAAAGGCTCTGGGGCATGGAGGGAGATGAAGAGAAGTACCAAGGAGTCTAGCAATAACTGAGGGATGGGTATGGAGTTAACCTCACTGTTACGGCTTTTAGTTATGCTGGAGTTATTGATTTGATTAGCAGCCTGGAGTGACTGGATTTGCAGAAACAACAAGAGTCCGGTGGCACCTTAAAGACTAACAGATTTATTTGGGCATAAGCTTTAGAGGGTAAAAAAACACTTCTTCAGCTTATGCCCAAATAAATCTGTTAGTCTTTAAGGTGCCACCGGACTCCTTGTTGTTTTTGTGGATACAGACTAATATGGCTACCTCCTGATACTTGGATTAGCAAAGTGATTGGACTAGCTGCTGCTGAGTTATAACTCAAGCTGTTACATCCTCACTGCATCACCAGCTTGAGATCACTCAACCTTCAACCCAGCCCGCCTGACAAACCAGTTAGCTCAAGCTTAAAGCAGCCCCTAACTTGAGCTAGAGATTTTTGTGTGTGGACAGGAGTGAAGTTAAGGGTAACAAGTAGGGCTGTCAAGCGATTAAAAAAATTAATCGTGATTAATTGCACTATTAAGAATAGAATATCATTTAAATATTTTTGGATGTTTTCTACATTTTCAAATATATTGATTTCAGTTACAACACAGAATACAAAGTGTACACTGCTCACTTTATATTTATTTTTGACTACAAGTATTTGCTCTGTAAATAAAACAAAAGAAATTGTATTTTTCAATTCACCTAATACAAGTAGTGTAGTGAAATCTCGTTATCATTAAAGTTGAACTGACAAGCATAGAATTATGTACAAAAAAACCTGCATTGAAAAATAAAACAATGTAAAGTTTTAGAGCCCGCAAGTCCACTCAGTCCTACTTCTTGTTCAGCCAATCACTCAGTTTGTTTACATTTGCAGGAGACAATGCTGCCCGTTTCTTGTTTACAGTGTCACCTGAAAGTGAGAACAGGCATTCTCATGGCACTGTTGTAGCTGGTGTCGCAAGATATTCAAGTGCCAGATGCACTAAAGATTCATATGTCCCTTCATGCTTCAACCATTATTCCAGGGGACATGCATTCATGCTGATGAGGGGTTCAGCTCGATAACTATCCAAAGCAGTGCAGACTGACTCATGTTCATTTTCATTATTTGAGTCAGATGCCACCAGCAGAAGGTTGATTTTCTTTTTTGGTGGTGTGGATTCTGTAGTTTCCGCATTGGAGTGTTGCACTTTTAAGAATTCTGAAAGCATGTTCCACACCTCATCCCTCTCAGATTTTGGAAGGCACTTCAGATTCTTAAACCTTGGGTCAAGTGCTGTAGCTATCTTTAGAAATCTCATGTTGGTATCTTCTATGCGTTTTGTCAAATCTGCGGTGAAACTGTTCTTAAAATGAACAACATGTGCTGGGTCATCATCTGAAACTACTATAACATGAAATATATGGGAGAATGTATGTAAAATAGAGCATGGGACATACAATTCTCCCCCAAGGAGTTCAGTCACAAATTTAATTAACGCATAATTTTTTTAATGAGTGACATCAGCATGGAAGCATGTCCTCTGGAATGGTGGCCGAAGCATGAAGGGGCATACAAATGTTTAGCATATCTGGCATGTAAATACCTACAAAAGTGCCATAAAAATGCCTGTTCTCACTTTCTGCTGACCGAGTGGCCTTGTAGGCTCTGAAGTTTTACATTGTTTTGTTTTTGAGTGCAGTTATGTAACAAAAAAAAATCTACATTTGTAAATTGCACTTTCACGACAAAGATTGCACTAAATTACTTGTATGAGGTTAATTGAAAAATATTATTTATTTTATCATTTTTACAGTGCAAATATTTATAATAAAAAATAATATACACTTTTATTTCAATTACAACACAGAATTTATATGAAAATGTAGAAAAACATCCAAAATATTTTATACATTTCAATTGGTAGTCTATTGTTTAACAGTGCGATTAAAACTGCGATTAATCGTGATTAATTTTTTTGTTAGTCGCGTGAGTTAACTGCGATTAATTGACAGCCCTAGTAACAACAGTTATAACTCAGGCTAACTGTGATGTGAAGACACACCCTTAGTCTCTGTCGGTGCCATCATTATCTACTGTATAGACAGTTATGGGATCTCAATGGGATTAAATGCTTCACAAAGTTATCCTTGTGCACACAAATGGAGCTAAACTTATAGCTAGGTTTTGGGTCTGGAAGGAACTGGCCCTTCCCTGGTAGGGGAATACCAACAGGGGCCTTGAGGGAAGGGAGCACTGAGTCGTGCACACAGATGTGTACAGTAGATATCCGGCATTGCCAATTTCTCTTGATCCTAGAGCACTCTAGGAACTGACGGACTGTCATTGATGGACAGCCCAGCAGAGTAACACCTACAGTCATGCAGCATAATCCTTCATGTTCCAGCCCAGCACCTCCCCCAAGATTTTACACTACGCTCCAGCACTCAGGGGGTCACAGTGCTCCGAGCATGAAGCTGTTCCGCTTCAGTGTTGCTTTAATTGCTGCATGGAGCTGATGTGAAATCTCTGTGCCCACTGCTGCAGGCCAGGCCCCTGCGGGTCTTGGACAGTAGGGAGAAATTACTCCCCGTTGTGCTCTGCTGCATGAAGTGCAGCGAGGAGGGTGCTAGACTTAAGTGTACTGGAAAAGCCCAGTGGCTCAGTTATTGCACATCTCTTTTCTAGCAGTTGCTAATGCTGGATCCTATCCCAAAGAGCTCCTGATTGAGCTATACAATAGTATGAGGGGGGATTTCTTCCGGACTTTCCCAACTGATTATCAGCTTATTCCTTGAAGAAACGAAGATGGATGCCCGGTGTCAGCCTTTCCCTAACTAATCTCACTACAGATACTGCTCCTATACTGGCAGCCACTAGAGTTCGCTGGCACTTGTGTAGTGCAGTTTGAAGTGAGCCCAATGTTAGCGCCTGGACCCCCCTTGCTATTCAGCTTCATAGAGCAGCTCTATTCTGAAAGTGACTCTATGGCATCATGGGCCTCAGAGACTCCTGATCAAATGCACTCAGTTTATAAGTAAAGGGTCATTTGTTTCTGACGGTCTCTCTCTGCCTAGAATTTAATGGCCAGATTTTTCAAGGTATTTAGGTGCTTAAAGATGCAGGTAATGACCTAATCGGATTTTCAAGTGCATCATTTTCAGTATTAGCCACCTAGGCTCGTTTGAAAATCCCACTAGGCCACTACCTGCATCTTTAGGCACCTAAATACATTGAAAAGTCTGGCCCCGAGAGTCAAGATGGGCTCTTTCCATCTCACACACATCATCACCTGAAATAAAGGCTCTGCAGGTCATATTAAGCTCTCAGTTCTACCTGGGCAGCCCACCTATCTTCACGCTATATCTCTGGTGTCATCTGTGCAACCCTATTGTAATCAGTAGGTTTGCACAGGTGTAACAGATTGACACTTAATGAACAATTCTGTTAACGCTGCACAAGAAGGAATAGATTCCAATTCCCGCTCTCTGAACTGTGTTGGCTCTGCAGACAACCAGGAGTAAAAATCAATGAAAACGTATTTTAGCCATAAATCAGCAAATCTGATAGATACCAGAGTCAGATATGCTGAGTGATAAAAAGCCATTTTTACATAGCTACTTTTCTGAGCAGAACCTTCACCTTAATGTTGTTTTATCAAAAGAACCTTAATTATAATGGGTGCATAATAGCTTCTGCAATAATGGAAGTTGCAAAACAGTTGCCATTATAACCCGCTGTTTTCACATGCTCATAACTTTCCAAAACGATTCACCTTCAGGGCTGCTGTAATTTTCCAAGCTTAGGCTCTGTGTGATGGGATTTTGTTGTTGTTTTGTTTTGGAAAGTTAGAGTAAAATCCCTTCAGCTGTTTTCAAGTTCAGCCAGGATGAAAAAAAAAATTGCTTCCCTTCCTCCCCTCTTTAAAAAAGCCCAGTACACGATTTTCTTTGGAGAGAACTGCAGCAAAAATAGCAGTGGTTTGAAACTTGGCCTGGATGAAGTCTGCACTGAGAACTAGTGTCTTTACTTGTTTGGAGAAATATTAATTTTAATTAACAAAAGATTATGACGGGTTTCCAAACTGTATCCAACGCCAAGTAGAAACTGTATCAAACCCGCCCAGTGTTTACTTGGTTAGAGAACTACATATTTTTAATTAACAAAAAGTAAAGACTGTTTGAAAATTGTATCAGACACACCCACTAGAAAATCAGGTGCCAGTTTAGATATGCACAGTGGGCAACTTCTTAACTGTGTACATGTGGAAACTTGCACATTTAAGATGTTTCTCATTTGAACTGCTGAACTCTCTTCCCAGAGAGATCTAAACATTAAGTTAACATTGAAGACAGTTGGTTTGGTAGTTTTTAAGCTTCAGAAGATGTCAGGGAACCCTGAGTCCACCCTCCCTCCCTCCCCCTCACTCATAGTACACACTGGTACATGCATGGGTGCAGAAATGCATAATTAGCTTTCAGTATTACAGAGGACAGTGAGCTCCTTTCCTCGTGGAAGGGATGGGATCTGGGGCGGGACATTTATGGCTGCATATCTGGAAGCACTGCCTAACAGTGAGGGTCTGTTGGGCTCTGACTATGCTGGGAGTTTTTATTACTTGAGTCATTTATAAGCTGGACTGCACAACAATGGAAGGTAGACTGCATTGGGTAGGTGGGAGCTGGACTAGGTGTGAGCCCATAGCCTTTTCCATCTCCGATTCCTATAATTCTCCCATGGGTCATGCCCGTCCTCAGGTTGCAGAGCCCAGGCCATTGCCACCTGAAATGGCTCCCATTCACAGGAGGCTACACTGTCAGAACAGGGTGGATTAACACCATCTTCCTCTCTGACAGGTTTGCACAAGAGAATCCACTATGTTTAGTCAACATGTGGGCAATCCCCATAGAACTCACCTGAGGTACCAGCGGTCCCCCAAGCCATACTCCTGCCCACAGATCCCAGAGCGAGGCCAGAGGCATTGTGGGAGTTTCCGCTCCAGCATGACAGTAGTGGCAACAACCTTCAAAACAACAAAAAAGGTGTTGGCAAGACAACAAGGAGTGCAGAGATAGGGGAAGTGGGTAGAACAAGCAGCAGGAAATCATGGGGGCATAGATGGAGTCTATACTTCTCATAGACACATATGAGTGAAATACCTAGACACATGCCTACACAATGGGCCCCATTTCAGCCCTCCTCTGCCCTGGGCTGAAATAAATTCCTTTTCCATATATTTTTTCATTCATGGATCTCCTCCTCCAAAAACACACATGCCTTCTACTGCCAAGAACTCAACCCTCCCCACACTGGAAGAATCCACAAGTCTCCTCTGTGAGAAAGGAATTCAGGCTCTAAGGTCATCACTCATGGGCTACACACATACCCTAATGGGAGCCCCTGACCCTACCCTGTCCTAGGCTCAAAGTGAGTCTATGCATTAAGGTCTGTTCACATGTGGCTCAGCAGCATCCTCACCTGTGCTCTCCAAAGCTCGTCCCGCTCGTGGGCCACGCGCCAGTGGGTGTCACCCATCATGGCGATGAGCAAGTTGAGCATGAGGAGGGTGGCGATGACGGCGAAGGCGGAGTAGGTGATGCTGTACATGAAGGGCAGGTCCACTTCATAGTTGGCGGGCCCATCGATGATGGTGAGGAAGAGCTCAAAGGTGCTGAAGAGAGCTATGGGGTAGTTATAGAAGTGGCCCAGTTCATCGGGGTTTTCAGTCTGGAAGATGACGTAAAAAGCTGGCATAGAGAGGAAAGGAGGGAAAATGAATGAGGAAGCCTCTGTGCTTTCTCTGCTCTGCCCTGCACCATCCTACCATCTGCCTGAAACAACAGTATAGTGTTAGACTTTAGCCCAGGGCAGCCATGCATCCCAGCTGCAGTCAGACAGCCCCAGTTTCCAGGGAGGCTTTCCTGTGTCACAGAGCTCATAGGACACTTAAGAGTCCTGAGTGCTATTTGAAACTCATGTTATTTAATCATAACAGGACAACATTATGTCCCCACTTCACGTGGTATCCAGAGCCCTCATCATGACACCAGTATGGCATAAAACAATCATAGCAGCATCAGGCTGAGATTATTTTGTGGCAAAGGGCAACCTCGCCTTGCATTGATCACACAACACTGTGAATTCTGGAAGGAGAGTGAATAACTAAGTACCGCACCCCCCCATTCCCTCTGGAGTAGAGAGGTGGGTTCCTCCTCTCTACGGAATATTGACATTTCTTCAGAACTGGGTCAAGTCCCACCAGCCCATAACATTTCCCCGTGTCCAGGTTGCTGAGATCTCCCAAATAGCCTGTCCTCTTTGGGGCTGAATCAATAACTTCATAGGCAAATGTGTCAGTTCATGAATGAGAAGAGAGACTGGCAGAGGGGTGGGGCAATTTTGTAGGAAGGAACCTGAGATATGGGGAGGAAAAGGCAGAAGGAGGAGAAGGTATGGATTGTGAATAGCAAGGAGCAGGGAGAAAGGGAAGGGAGGAAATGAACAGGCAAGTCAAATCCCATCAGCATGGGCAGGCCTGGGAGCTTTGAGTTGTATTCTAATATAAGCTATGAAGGAGCTGGAGGACTGAGTGCCCTCTTTCCAGACAATTGTTCCATAAAACCCAATATTCCGTGGATGGATGTGCAAGACATGGTGCCCCTCAGGGTGTCCATTGAGACCCTGCTGTCTTTTAACTGGGCTTGTAGCTGTGTATCGCATCATACCTACCTGATGCAAAGCCAAGTATCACCACTGCCATGAGCCAGCAGAAGCGCATGAGATCTCCAAATATCATCTGCAGATGAAACAAAACCAACTGCCATGAGACCCCACTCTCTCACAAATACAGCCCTGAAACTGAGGCTTTGTTGTCTAACTGGTCCATGTATCCTGGTCTCTCACCTCCCACCATAGCAGATCCAGTCTTGTATCTCATGTCATATTGGATCGGACCACTGGTCCTTCTAGTCAGGAGACAGCATGGTCGAGTAGCCAAAGCAGGGCACTGGAAGTCAGCAGACCTAATTTCTAATCCAAAGGAGTTACTGTGTGAGCTGGGGAAATTTATTTAACCTCTCTTGCCTCAGTTTCTCCAGATATGTAATATACTAATGATACACACTCACTTTGTGAAAGTACTCTGAGCTCTATGGATGGGAGTGCTAGCTAAATGTTTTAGTAGTACTAATAGTTTAGTAGCCTGGCTGCAGAATGGCTCATACTTGATGTTTCAGAGGGAAGTCAGAACACCTCCATAATACACTTGGTCCACCATAAGACACTGAAAATAGGGATTTCTTCTTGGTCAGCTGAAGCACAAAGACTGATAGCCGTGCCTACAGTAGTATCACTGCAGCTGGGTAATCTTATCCAGACAAATTTGTCTGGATAAGATTACCCAGTTGCAGTGATACTACTGTAGGCACGGCTATCAGTCCAATTAAATATATATAACTAAATTGCTTACCTCAATATTTTTTCCAGCAGTGTCATCCATTGAACTAGAGGACCCTACAGCCTGTTCCACCAGTATAACAGAGATGAAAGACTGATCTGAACCGACTAATGTTCTGAGCCAGTTTAGTGGCTTCTATGTCTCTAATGTCCACTGTACCCTTCACCGTCCTGCATGTGGCCTATCTCAGTACATAAAAGAAGAACCTCACTTAAAACAGCCTGCTAGATAAAGGTCAAAAGGGTTCTTGTCTGGCTCCAGGAACTCGAATCCCACACCAGAAACTCCTGGGAAAGTGTTTCTATTCTGATGGAAGGACCAAGATATGACCGTGGGCACATGCTGATGCATGGCATGGCTGGATAACTGCTGCTCAGGATCCATCTTTGCTGATATCTTTATTACAGTCTCTCTCCCTCTTTCAGTCAGGCAGTGGGCTGTGTTGTCCTTACCTTCTGTATCATGATGGTGAAGGGTCCCAGCATCTGAAAGCCTCGTGCGAAGTACATGACGTTGCACCAGCCCAGCACCAGGGCAAAGGACATGGGGACCACCTCTCCAGTGGTGCTGGTGAGACGCATCACCATGGTCACCAAGATCATACAGGCATAGGTGATGCTATAGCGTATAAGACAGAGCCAGGAGGATCAGAATCACATTCCCAGTCCACACTCTCACCTCCAAACACTCAAGTCTCTCCCAACAACTAACTCTCCATAATCCCCCCAACCCCCACCCACACCAGAAAGCAATCTGTATGAAATAAGGAGAGGGGGAACCTCACATGATGATGTGGAAAGGTCCTCCCAGAATAGTTTGTCCAAAGTACTTGGTGACTCCAACTCTGAAGATATCTGGAATCTAAGAAGAACACTCTGTTCAAATTGGGGCTCAATCAGTTCACACATGCACAGAACATTAAATTATATTGATTTCTCTTACCTCAAGGATCAATATTACTATGGCTCCTATCACTGTGATCAGCTCCCCTACCAGCCTCAGATTGTCCTCAGGAGTCGCATAAGATTCCTGAAAGGAGAGAAGGAGGTCCCCCTCAGTCCAACTGTGCATGGCCAGGAGAGGACTCTTATGCCCCATCTAGGCTTGAGCAAAAAAGTATTCTCCTTGCAGGATTGCTCATGCCATAGTCTCCAGAAGAGGCAGTTAGTCTAGAAGATCAAGCATGACAGCGGGAATCAGGAAACATGATTTCTACCCCCAGCTCTGACACTGGATGACTGCAGTGTCACCTGGGCCAACAAGGCCTCCTCTTTTGGGTGCCTTAGTTTTTGGGTGCCCAATTGAAGACACCTTGGGACTGATGTTGAGAGCTATTGAGCACCTGCAGCACTCACTGAGTTCTGCTGGAGTTGGGGGTGCCCAGCGCTCCTGAAGAATTGGCCCTGGGAAACAAGTGAGTCTCTTTAACTGAGCTCCAGCCCACATCTGTCCGCCTACCCTCTCCTCCCCCACTCTGTCCCATTTACTCCCCTTCCCTTTCCATGTAGCTAACTCCCTCCTAAGTAAACCTATCCCCGCATCCTAAACAGTGGACCAACACACTGTTTGCCATCATCACCTATTTCACTCTGCGTGTGGGTTCTACCCTTTTCCCCACCCTGCATTTGTCTGGTCTCTTCAGGCTGCAAGCTCTTTGGGTACATTGTCCAGCACAATGGGGGCCCCACTCTTGGCTGGCCCTTAGGCACTACCACCAGAAACAGGATGCACTATTATAATAAGGAGGAGGTGCTCTCCCCTTTGAGTCAGTACTGAGCCCAACTTCCCAGCATGCTGCTCGGGGGTGCTGTGCTGCAGGGAGCAGATGGCTGCAGGTATTCCTTCGCCTACATAGCCTGTAAAGTGCTTGGGGACTTTTAGGCTAAAAAGCTGGGAAGATTTGTGGGATATTAATGGTGTACACAATGTACCTGCAGCAGTTTCTGGATGTAGATGGTGTTGTCCCTTTCATGTGTTTTGTTGCTCTGTCGATGTTTTAGAGGTCGATAGACACAGCACATGGTGAAGCAAATCATGTATAGCACGTAGAATAAGGCCAGGATGCAGAAATAGGGACGCCCATATTTATTCCACTTCAGGCTCACCAGCTCATTCACAGGGGTCAGGTCCAGGATCCGACGGGCCTGAGAGACAGACACCAGACTTCATTCATTGTGGGGCACCTCTCTGCCCCCGAAGAGCAAACTGGCAAATCACCCCAAGCTTATGAAAACAATCATAGTACGTTAAATCAACTCTGACTGGGACCCTTGTCTGTCCCCTTTTGTCCGCCAAACACAGAGCAATGACTCAAAGGACCTGGGCAGAGACAGGCTGCAGAAACAGGTCAGAATTTGTCCCACTATCCCACCTGGTCCATTAATGCCACTACACCCATCCAAAGACCTGGTGCATTCACTCTGGAAACACCTGGATACTTTGCCATGCTAATAGCAAAGAAGAGAGCAAGGTAGGAGGAGAAGAGAGGAGACAAAGACCACAATCCTGTTAGAAATGGCAGGCTCTTCTTATGACAGGTTGATGCCCAAATGGAAATACTGTAATATCCTACAGTCATAGTTCCATACCCTGCAGTGTCTCTATAGAAAGCTGTAATGCTTCAGACCATTACTCTAGAATATTGTAATAATTTCTTGTTATAAGAGAGGTTACAGATCAAGAACTTGACTTGCCAATAGATTCCAATGGGTGCCCCTTCCTAGTCTCTGCACTCTGGGTCTCCTGGAACCTGAATGGAGTCCAGCCACTGCCCCAATTTCAGGGTCTCTAGGCACACTCACAGGACGCAGAACTTCTATCTGGCACCCTCCTCATAGCTGTTCTGGGTCCAGAGCTGACCCTTCCCACTTCGCAGTACTCAAACACACCCCTCTCCCTGGACTCTACCCACCAGGTGTGAACATCTGGTTTACAGTTTAACTCCCTCGGGGGCATGCAGTAATTGCAAAGCAGACAACAAACGCACACATGCACACTTTGTTCAATCTACTAAATTGATGCTCTTTACTTAATAGATGAAGCACAGGAGAGTACAGATCATACCACACAATAAAACATCCTAAACACAATGCCCCTCCCTAGCTCACCCTCCCTTTGGGAGTCCCTGAGGGATAGTCTGTGTTCTGGCTGGCAGACGGGCAGGGTCCTCCAGACCCTTGTGTGTCCTACCCTTGCAGCAGCTTCCCTAATCTTACTTTGCTGCAAAATGGCTCTCTCTTCCCCTGTTCCTCCCTGTGGTGTCCCATTATAGACTCCTGCTGGGGTCACCTGCTTCTTTTGTTCTGCCTTCTGGTAATCTCCCAAACAGGAGGAGGAAGCTACCTCTCTCAGGGAGTGCAAACCTATTGTCCCAAGGTGTTTTATTTTGAGTGCTGATCATTCACCATTGAGTCTGGCCTGGCAGAGAGACATGCCACAACCCAGCTAGCTCTTGGAGGATCCACAACCATATAGGCTTTTTTCCATGACACAGTAATTTCAAAATACAATTTCATAAAGTCATCCACAACTCAGAAGTGATACAAACAGACCCCCAGTTTGTCACACCCACATACCTCTCTTTTCTTGGTGGTGACAATGAGTTCCAAGAGAGATTGGTCATCTCCCCACGAGTCGATCTCTGTGAGGTCATACAGGGTGGAGACCAGGGGGCCGAAGGTCCACTGGATGTGCTTTCTGTTCTGCATAAGGTGCTGGAACATCTAATTGGCAAGAAGGGCAGAGCTGAGCTCATGGGAGGCTGTACATATTTGCCCAAACCACCAAGCACCACCAGCACCAGTATCCCAGGACATTGAAATCACCTGCACCCCTGCTTCAAACTCAGCTCTGAAAACACTTGTCTACAGAAGCCTTGCAATCAGGGGGTTGGACTGTGATCTTATTAATTCTCAAGCCAAGCAAATTTGGGTTGGGTCAGAACTCGGATGGAAGACCTATGTGCTATAGGTATTACTGGTTCAGTAGGGAGTGCTCTCCTTTCTAACTTAGTACTGACCCAAAGCCCCAGCACAGTGTTAAATGCCATGGTGCAGGTGACTCAGTAGGTGATGTTTCCTTTTCTATGTCACTGCCTCAGCCTGGTACTATGGTGCTGGTGAGGCAGGAGGTGGTGCTCTTCTCTCTGAATCAGCACTGAATCAATCCTCCAGCATTTTCCCGTGGACTGTCAGTGGAAAATGTTATACCTCCCCTCCAGTGATTCTCCTGTAGTGCTACTGACACAGAGCAGTTGCTGTATGCCCCCAAGAGGCAGCTGCACTTTGGTGGGTGAGTGATCCCTACTAGTGATATCTGGAAAGTGCTTTGGGATCCTTCAGACAGAGACATGCCTCAGTGACATCAGAAACTATGAAAGCCAAGTGCTGCACACAAACTCACCACAGTGTTGCCCTCAACCCCAGTTAGCTTGAATGGAGTGAGCCCCTCGTTGTTAGGGATTAAGTCCAGGGCTCCCAGCTCCCTTTCGCTCTTGTCATAGGAGAGAAGGAAGTTGTACATCTGGCAGGCAAAGATCTTGTTGGGTTGGAGAACTAGGATGTGGAGAACAGTGTTCCCTGTAGTGGAAAGAGAGACAGAGGGATGAGATAACTGGTAAGATGGGAAACACAAATCACCTCCCAATCTTGACAGACTCTCAGACAGTCAATATACAGATCTTGCTCAGCCTCTGTACAACAGGGCTTGCCATTAGTATTCTGTGTGGCTCTGCACAGTATGAACAGCCCCACTTGACAATTAAGGAAAAGCAGCCCCCATCTAAAGTCCTTCAATCCACAGAAAACTGAATAATAAAAGGCAGTTGGTGTCGTATTTTATCTAGGCAAAAGTCTATTTAAGGTTCCAGTATAGGACTAGTCATCCTGGAACAGACCATTGCTCCAGCTAGCCAGCTCTGATATTACCACCTCACAAACTGGGATGTTTTTCCCTGGGTTTCAAGTTAGCATCTTTCATAATTTTGAAACACTAGTTCTGGCCATCTCATTTCCTATGTAAATCTTGCCTGTGATGTGTCTCACTGCAGAGGAGAGACAGGACTAAGCTGTAATGAACACAAAGGGGATTTTAATGAGATTGATGCACACAGATGGACCCTGTGTCTCTCTCTCTCTTTCTGGCTCTCAGGCAGTCTTTGCAGCCTATTGTCACCACACAGGGTCTCCCTAAGGCCTGGACTATGCTCTTATGGGAGGGACCGCTTGCTGCTGAGTACATTACACGACCATATTGCTATGTCCCTTTGTTGCCCTTCACTGGGCCTTCTCAGTCTCACCAGCATCTTTCTTAAAGTGAGGTGACCAACTTCAGACACAGTCCCGCAAAGGTACCATCATTTGGTACCACACCATTCACACAGCACCTTGAAAGAGGCCACTGAAGAGCTCTTACCCAAGGTGTCTTGTGCTCTGATGTTGGCTCCATGTTTGATGAGCAACTGGACGATCTCCTCACTTCCTACACAGGCTGCGAAGGATAAGATATGCTCCCCTGAAGAGAAAGGAATGGAGACAAAGGAATACATAATATGGAGTTAAAGAGAGGAAACGAAAAGAGAGGCAAAAAACCCAGACCACTAAACACATCTCTCTCTCTCTCTCTCTCTCACACACACACACACACAAATCTTTATGTAAAATTCCCATGCAAATGGTATTCCAAATGCTTTGCAGAGCTACCCAACAGGGAGGGGAGCAGAGAAATCAGGAGGTACTGCCTAGGCAAGGCAGAGGAGATGCATTTGCTGACAGGCTGTTTAAAAGAGCAGGATAGTGAATGAGGCAAAGAGATCCAGGGAGGCTGTTCCATATGGAAGAAGCCACAGAGGAGAAGGGTCCTGCACCAACAAAGTGAAACTAAAACAATGAGAAGACGGAGAGCGAAGGCCTATGTCACACAACTAGAGGGAGCAGGGAGGGTCTGGTAGAGAAACTATCTCTGCAAGGCTGAGTGGGAAAAATCCACAAAGAGTTTTAAAACTAAGGAGGACAATTTGGAACTGAATCCAATTGTAGCTGGATCCCACAATGAATGGGAAGATAGTGGAGTGGGCAGAGGAGCGGTGGTTTGCTCACACCTGAGAAGACACGGAGGGACATCTTGCAGCATGAGCTGGCAGCTGAAGAGCTGGGATTTAGAGGAGGCCATATAGCAGTGAGTCAACGCAAGCCAAATCTAACGCTGATTTAAAACAAACTCTCTCAGGCCTCCTGCTTCATGCATATGACAGAAACAAAATGGTCACAGACAATGTTTTCAGGACACCTTTAAGGGAATGGAGAGATTGCTTATGAAGAAAGATTAAAATAGTTAAATATGAGCTGTATAGCGGAGTTAAAAGACAATAGAGGACATAATAACTGTTTATAAGTGTCTGAAGCGGAAAACACCATGGAGGAAGAGAAATTGCTTACGATGACAGCTGAATGAGTCCACAGTGTGATGCAGTTGTGACAACGACTAATATCATTCTGGGGAGTATTAACAGGAGTGTCGTAGGTAAGATATGGGAGGTGATTGTCCCGCTCTACTCAGCACCGGTGACGCCTCAGCTGGAGTCCTGTGTCCATTTCTGGGCACCACGCGTTAGGAAAGATGTGGACAAATTGGAGACTCCAGAGGAAAGCCACAAAAATGATCCG